CTGTCGATGCGCTTAAGCGCCCAACGCGGGCCGTCGTTAATCGGGGTAGTTGGATGGCGGCCTCTCGCAGTCTGGGCAGAGACGTCGAACCGGATATACCGATGGTCCGACAACGTCTCCACCCCTACGGCGACACGCCAGTCGCGGACTCGGCTGGCGACAGAGGGGCTGGCAAACGAGACGTCCACTATCGACCCGCCCCGCTGCCGCACGCACGTGTATTCCGAACCCCGTTTCAGGACGACCAGACCAGTTGTCACTGTCCACTCTTCTAGCACCTCGCCCCGAGGATCAGTGACCGGAGATCCCCACGCTGATGACTTTGCGTTGAGATCCCCGAGCACCAGAACGGGACGAGGAAACCCTCAAAGTCGGCGAGACTCTTGTTGGGGGAGAAATACGCCCCCCACAATAACGATACCACCCGAGACCGCAGCAACCCAGCCACGGCCCCGAGACGGTTCGATCAGAGTCTCGCCAATAATGGCCACCAAACCGTCAGCGCATCCCAGCCAGTTGTCACGGGCGGGAATGAAGTAAGGTTCGGCGACCACAGCCACGTGAATCGACCACTCTGCCAAGCTCTGGAGTAGGAGACCCTGAGCTCTGGCACAGTGGTTGATGTTGCCCTGGAGAAAATGGAACTTTTCCATTATTGGCATTCCATTTCCTTCTCAACGGTCCTGGGCCGGGAGTCGCCCGCGGAGCTACTGGCCTGTGTGGGCAGCGAGGTTAACTCGGCAGGCTTGGTGCTCCTCTTCTTTTCTTTTTTGGCCTTGGACTTGTTGGTAGGCGCCCCACAGGCCCCTCCGCCTACTCTGTGCTCCGCTGGCCTTCCCGCAGCAGAGCAAAGGCTGCAGTTGAACGCCGCGGTGCACAGGGCCGCCTTGTGGCCAGGCTGGCCGCAGTGGTAACAAAGGTCACTACGGTCAACCTCGGCGGTGCAATTCACCCGGAACGTGCCCTTTTTCAAGGCACCGGAAGCACTGCAAAGCCCGGGGCTGTAGCAGCTTCGTCCTTGCCGCCACCCAGCCTACCAGTAATCTGCCGCTATCGGCGATCTTCTTTGCCGCCGCTACAGGGCACCGAACCCAGACCGCGCCAAGTCCGGTGGCATCGGTGCGTATATCGCCGGCCCGCACCTTGTCCGGCGGACACTCTCCGCTTCTGGCAACGGCCGCCACCACCTCCTCAGATGTCACGGAGTCGTCCAGGCCAGAAATCCGCAATTCTGCGGTTTTCATTGGTCTGGAGACCCGGACGTCCTCAGGGTTGAGGACCTCTCTCATCTTGGCGGCCAATGCGTCCGCCTTTTCGGCACTGTCGCTTACAGTGCCAGCCACCTCGAACAGCCGCGCACCCGTGGCAGCCTGCCTGAGGGTGACGGACTGAAGGCCAAGATCTGATAATTTAATCTTGGCCTTGGCCTCAGCGATGACCGACTGGTACGTCACGCCACGCTCCACAGCCCCGGGCTGCAATGTTATTGTCACCGCATTGGACCGCGGAACACGTACAGCCGATTTCTTGCGACCGCCTTTGGCAGTCCGCCGCTCAGGTTGAGGAGCCGTCTTTGCGGTTCCACCTGGGGCATGTGCAGCTGCTGCGGCCTTCTTGGCGGCTTTGCGGGCCTTCTTGCGGCCCACGACTTTCGCCCATGTCTCACCCTTAGACCCGGCTGTCGTGGGCTGGTCGCTCGGAGGAGCTCCCTCCGCGGGCTTTTTTTACCCTCCATGGGCTTCCCCTTTTGAGGCGCAAGTCTCGGCGGCTCCTCAGTTCTCCGCGTGTCAGCTGCCAAAGGCGGACGTAGGGTTTCCGCCGGGAGACGCCGAGAAATCGCCTCCAGCCGAGCGTTAACCATGCTCCCGCACTGGAGCATGCAGAGCCGGACAATGCGCTCGACCTCTTCGTCGGTACGAGGGCTTGTCGGTCGCGGTGCGGGAGTCGGGGCCACTACAGATGCGGCATCGGTGGATGTGCATCTCTGCTGCTGCTCGCTCAGTGCTGCGACTTGCTGCCGGAGGTCCTCTAGATCATTTCTGAGGCGGCTATTTTCCTCCTGTAGTTTTGCGACCTCGTCAGAGGCCGTCCTGTTGAGGAGAATGCCAACCGCCTCCCTGATGTCCGCGGCAGCCTCTTTTAAGCCACGGGTGAACGTGCCCTTCAGGCTGCCAGACTTGGTGGCAACCTTCAGGACTAAGTCCACCCCATCCAGAGCCAGCTGGCTCAAGGCCACCGCAGATGGCTCTCCTTTTTCCGCCGCCAGAGCAGCTCGTCGTTCGCGAGCACGTCGGGCCATTTCAGACACTTCGTCTGCTGCGACGGCTTTGCGCTGTTCCCTCTTGGCGGCGTTGAGCTCCGCCTTTGAACTCCCCAGCGAGGCACAGCTTTCGCCGCCATCGCCAGGGTCCTCCGTAGTGACCCCCATGTCACTCTCTGCTTCACTAGCCGCCGAGGTATTGGAGCACACGAATCGTCCGTGCTTATCCCTTCGCGGCTGCGAAGCATTTACCCCTCTCGATGCCTGCCGACCCCTCCTCGAAGTCGCCAACTTGGGGGCTGGCAGGCCTTCCTCGTCCGAAGACCGGCACACTGGACGTTTCCTGGCGGAAGACGTCCCACGCGACCTGTCCGCGTCTGATCCATCCTTTTTTCCTATGTCTACATTTTTTTTTAAAGTTTTATTCATTTTTTTTTTCCCACGAGTGTGGAGGAAGTAACGGTCCGTCCGAGCAGAGCCCCCCTTTGCCCGGATAAGCCTATGCATAACCCGTCAAGGGTGTTGGCCGGTACCCTGACGGGGGGCAACGCTAACGACTGAACATTTACCCATCAGCCATGCAGCTCCTCACGGCGTGCCACGCTTGAGCTTCGGTTGATTTTTTATAGAGGTTATCATCCTCGCGACTCCAGGCGGTTAAGCCAAGAGCCCTCGGCCCCTCAGGCGCCGCGAGACATGATCCACGACACGCCAAAGGGATTCCGAGGTTCGAATGGTGGCAGAGTCGAGACGGGTTCTTCCCATGCCTGCCCAGAGACCGGGTGAGGGAAATCTGAGCCCATTCTATTCCCGCGATGACGGGTTGCCCGGCGTCGGCAAAAGCCGAGTGCACCTGGCATCTCACCCCGCATGTCACATCCTCTGTTCCTCTCAGTGGAGAGGATACGGGAAGCAACTAGCAGGTACTTGATTCCATTCGGAACCAGAGGTACGCCCAAACCCAGCCAGTTTTGGTCCGCGACGGTTTCCCGCTACCACTCATATCTGAGTGGCATTCCACTATCCGCCACCTGGGGACGCGCCCGATAGGAGGACTGGCATCTCCACACGGGAACCTAACCAAACCTAACCTAACCTTTTTTTTTACATGGTAAAATGCCTACGCATACCCGCCTCGCGGGGGCAAGAACGGGTTATGTCGGACTCGCACCGACTAAAACCGCATGGTGTTCCACCTTCGTCGCATATTGGCAGGGCCACGGGAACGCTTTCGCACACATCCGCGGCCCTACCAGCGCCTGCCGCCCCATGGCAGCACCTCCTCGGGAGAGGAATATTCCTCCCCGTTCTCCTTCCCAAGTAAGGCGCACCAGAACACATGGCGCGCCTTCCTCCACGGCCTCCAATTACATCTGCGCAACAGACGCCCCCGCGTCCGATGCACGAAGGCCATGGGGCCAGGAAAAACGAGCACTTAAAAGTACTAGCCTTCCCGACCCCAGCGGCGGATCTGGTCTATGGCTCCGCCGCCAACCAAGATTCGGCTGCGGAGGGTAGGGAAAGCGGCGCCTCGCAATACCGACAATCCTCTCCCCCCGCAGCCCCACCACCACCGCATCAACGGTGCGGCCCCGTTTGTGTCGCGGAGGATAGGGCGAGTGGCGCATCGCCATACCAACACTCCTCTTCCTCCGGGACTCCACCTCGGCTGCAGCGGTAGGTGGTGCGGATACCCCTCTCACCAAAGTCCAACTGCACACATCCAAAGTGGGCTCGCCAAGCCCACTCGGAGTGGCCACCTCGGGCCGGCCCTTCACCTCGGGCCAGCCACGTGGGTTCCTCTTTGTTACGCGGGCGACAAAGACCCCCGCCACGACAAGTCGGGAACCCGTTCGGGGGGGGGGGGGAACCTAACCTAACCTAACCTAATCTAACCTAACCTAACCTCACCTAACCGAATCAACTACAACTTTGCTTATAACTTTGCTAAAAATAGGTCTTTTTCGTTCAATTTTTTTTTCTAAATAATAGAACTAATTACTCCTCGTATTCCCCTATAGTTTTCATAGTACATTTTCACCGCAATATAATTAATTTTCACATTTTCTATCCATTATAGTCGTAAATTCACAAATAAAAACATAAATTCATCTATAATTCGGCTGAAAATTGCCCTTTTCTTCAGTAACTAACTGCCCCCCGTATTCCTATATAGTTTTATTGGTAAATTCTTAACGTTGTATATACAAATTTTTATATATTCAGTCCGTTATTTACGTAAATTCATCAATAAAAACAATAATTCATCTATAATCCGGCTGAAAATTACCCTTTTCCGTTTGAATATTCTTTTTAATTGGTGTATTTAACTGCCCCACGTATTTATATATAGTTTTCTTCATTAATTTTCACCGCTAAAATATTGATTTCCACATAATTAGGTTTCCAATAGTCGTAATTTCATAAAATTTTTAAAATTTTTCAAATCTTTGCTTCTTTCGCTCTTTTTGCTTCTATTAGGTCCGTCCCGTGTAGAAATAGTCATCTGCACTCAAATCCTATAAATAAAACACACAGAATTGGAAAAAATCGCCCTCCCACTCTCCCTGTTGCTCTTACTTAAATAGACTTGGGAATTTGTATCGATTTTTATTTGTATCGATTTTTTTATTTATATCGATTTTTTAATATTAAACCTGCAAATAAAAACACCTAGTTTAGGTAAAAGTCGTCCTCCCACCCTTCCGGTTTTCATTACTTTTAGATTCGTCTCACACAAATGTCAGTTCTCAGTAATTCGTGTACTGAAGCCATACCCAGTCAAAATTTAAGTCAAGAAATTGTTAGAACTGAAGATCCAGCAAATATAACTGACGAAGAATTTGAAGAAGCTCGATCTGAATCCAGCCCTAACCTTAACGACGAGTACCTTTTAAAAATTAATGAACACACTGATTTAATACAAAAAACTCTAGACAGTAGTAGAAGTGTCTCTCGCTTAAACAAGGAAAGTATTAAAAGGTCTCTGGAAGAAATTAAGCGCAGCACGCAGCAGTTACACGACCAAGTTAAAAATATTTTACGACAGTCAACACTATCTACCGAAAATATAACTACTTCTATAATCAGAAATACGATTAAAGAAGAATTCGAAAAGATTGCGTTAAAGTCTCAGCAATTCTCCGCTCCACCACTGCTAGAACCACTTCATTCAGATATTACCCCGAAGCCAATTCCAAGTTACGCCACAGTTGTTAAGACTACAAAAGTTACTGAGAAACCCCCAATTCCGATTACCAAACCATCTTTAATAATTACTTCCAAACAACCAGTATCCTCGTCACAAGAGACCATCTACGCGTGGAGGAAAAGTGTTCACTTCAAAGAGCTTACATTCACTCCTGCTGAGGTGAAACTTGTCTCTAATCATAAACTTCGCGTTGAGTTCGACAAACAAGAGCAAAGGGACAAGATTTTAGAAACAATAAATAGGCCAGACAGCCTGGTCAGCGCCGAAATAACGAAAAAACTCAAGCCTATGGTCATACTTAAGGGAATTTACAAAGACACACCCGTAGCTGAGCTTGTTGATATCATCACCAATCAAAACACTAAAATAAAAGACCTTCGTATATCACCTGAAGACATCATATTTAAATTTGTGCGCAATAACAAAAACCAGAAACTCTATAATGCTGTATTTATGGTTGCTCCTCATATTTGGAGAGTAATCATAGAAATACAAAAAGTTAATATAGACCATCAACGAGTGCACGTAGAAGACTTTCCGGCATTCCTTCAGTGTTATAAGTGCATGCAATTCGGACACACCAAAAAGCACTGCACTGAAGACAATACAATCTGTTCCCACTGCTCCTCAAATACACACACATACAAAGACTGTCCAGTAAAAAAAGATATAAACAAAATAAACTGCCACAACTGTACATTACACGCTAAAAAATATAACTTAAATTTAAACACTAAGCACAGCACCACGTCACTATTCTGTCCTCGTGTTCTCAAACAAATTGAAACCTGCAAAAATAAAACCGATTATGGATACTAAAAGAAAAAATAGGAAAACTTGTAGTGTTATGCTACTTACATATCATTTTACACTATTTTAAATTTATTTTTCCATTCTGTTTTTGATTTTCTGCAAAAAAAAATACGAAGTGAAGATTAGATGTGAGGAACCAGCTAATACTGTTTTGCATGACACTACATTTGTATATATGTTTGTATATTTGTATATATGTATAATTATTACCTGATTAATTTCTTTATCTTTATCTTCACTCAGGAGCGGTTGACAACTCCTTAAATAAGCCTGAATGTCCTTTTAGTGATGTTGCTCATCTCTGGCTTTGAGCCCTACCGCTCTGGCCGTTCTTAACATTTACTTAAGTCATAGCGACTAAAGCTTGCTTAAGATTAATTTCTTTAACTTTATCTTCACTCAGGAGCGGACGACAACTCCTTAAATAAGCCTGGATGTCCTTTCGAAAAACAATGAATTTTTTTTTTTTTCGAAAGGACATTCAGGCTTATTTAAGGAGTTGGAGTTGTCATCCGCTCTCTTCACTTCTTTTATAAATTTAAAATAGTGTAAAATGATATGTAAGTAGCATAACACTACAAACTGCAACAAATAATTACAATCCGCTTAAATGTCTACAAATAAATCTAGATAGAGGATACGCAGCGACTAACGAAATGTTTAAGTATGTGACGGATAATCAATTTGACATAGTGTTTGTTAACGAGCCTTATGTTGGAAGTGGCACCTATATGAGACGTTGCCCCGGCTACCATATTCACCAATTTTCAACTAAACATCACGTCAAAGCATGCATACTCATCAAACAAAATATCGGGTGTTCGTTGGGCATCTCAGAAGACTCCACACTTCAACATTTGTATAGTACAAATGACTACAAACGGCAAAAAAATATTTCTTATCAGTGTATATGTTGAACCAAATACTGATGAAATTAACACAATTAATACATTAGAACTCTTTCTACAAAAGACAAAAATTACAGCCATATCATTTGTGGTGACTTCAATGGCTGGCATCCTGTATGGAACTTATCCAGGGCAAATCGGCGAGGAAATATTATAGCAGACTTATTAACTACTAACGATCTTAACCTTTGTAATTCTGGAAATTTACCAACATTTGAGACTGTTACTCACAACATCCATCGAGAATCCATAATTGACCTTACTTTAACCTCCAATTTGTCATCAAATCGAATCAGTAACTGGAAAGTTGCTATAGAAGTCTGCCCATTCTCCGGTCATAACGCAATAACATTTGAATTATTGATAAATAAAAACAGTATACCCAAACCTAAGAAACTATCCACTTTCAAATATCATACTCAAAATGTAAAATATGAACAAGTCCACACAACTTTCAAAGAAGAAGTTGGAAAAAATATAGATTTAAATGTAAAAAAACAATGATTTAAATTTAACATGCTTTGCAAAAATGTATAATCTGTTTCCACAAAAAGGAGGAGCACGCAATAGAGCAATATGGTTGAATGACGAGCTAGAGCAGCTGAAACAAAAGTTATCAAGAATCATCATAGGATCCAGCAATTGAAACGACGGAAAAAACCATTAACTGAAGTGATAGAAGAAAAGACAAAACTAAAGACAAAATATGCGCAGGCAATCAAAACTGTATCAACCAATCATTTCAGAGAGTTTTGCAATAAACAGGGGAAGGAAGATGTTTGGAGTGTCACTAATAGGCTTCTTAAAACTACACCTCTAACTCAACCACCAACGACACTAAAAACGAAAGCAGGCAACTACACCTCAACCACCAAGGATACCGCAGAAACATTGTTAAACGACTATTTTACTGAAGACGAATCTGATATAAGCTCTAGACACATGGAAATTCGCAATCTCTCTAAAATAGTACCAGACACACCGTCAGACCCTCCATTTACTAATGAAGAAGTTTTAAACGCTCTTAAAACGATGAACTCTAAAATATCACCAGGACTAGATCACTTAACTGCAGACATATGCTTTAATTTCACTAAATTGTATCCCTCAGTAATTACCGCTATAATAAATAGGTGCTTTGAACTCAGTTATTTCCCAAAAATCGGGAAAACTGCATACATAAAAATAATTCCAAAATCTCATAAAACTGAATTTAACACTTCCTCTTATAGACCCATAGGACTTATTAATGTTTTTGGGAAAACTTTAGAAAAACTCATTACTAAGAGACTAACCTATCATTTACATAAAATTAATGCAATGAGCGAGGCACAATATGGCTTTAGAGAGCAAACTTCGACCACGTGCGCAATTCAAAAAGTCCTAGACGTAATTAGAAATGCCAAAAGCAACAATATGCAAATACTAGCAGTATCGTTAGATATACAAGCTTCGTTTGATAACGCATAATGGCCGGCTCTTTACCAAAGAATAAAATCGATTCAATGTCCTAGGAATATATTTATGTTACTCCAACATTATACAAGAGATCGCGAAGTAAAACTTGACTTCGCCGATAGTTCGGCTACCAAACTAATGCACCGAGGGTGTATTCAGGGATCATTTTGTGATCCCATGTTCTGGAATTTAATCCTCGATGAGCTTTTAACGTCAACTCTACCAGATGGATGCCATTTGCAAGCATTCGCGGATGACCTCTTTCTAATCACATACGCTAAAAATCTCGCTACTATAGAAACTACAACACAGATTGCACTTAAACAGATATTGGAGTGAGGTAGTTCAATTAAACTTAAATTCAACCCGAATAAAACGCAAATGTTTTCGTTCACCAATAAAGCTAAAAAATGCAAAATAACAATGGGAAACCAATACATAAATTGTTCTCGGCAGATTAAATATTTAGGAGTTATCATCGATCAGAAATTAAATTTTATAAAACATGCAGAGTACATAATAAACAAATCCCTATACATAAACTAGTAAAGTATATAAAATCGACCTGGGGAATTAATCCAGAAAATGTCCGCACCATCTACTCAAATGTAATAGAACCTATATTGTGTTATGGTGCAAGTGTTTGGAACCCAGCCCTTAAATATAAATGTCAATAAACGCCTTCTTTCCTTACAACGAACAATAGCCATAAAAATCATAAGGGATTTCCGTACAATCAGTACGGCAACTGCAATCAGCTTAGCATAACTACACCCCCTTCCAGACAAAATTAATTCAGTAGTAGATCTAGAAAAAACTAAGCAACAACGTACATCAAAATACTTACCTACAGACATAGAGCTTGAATCACCTTCCAAACCTATGGAGCTACTTCATCCTTCAAAAAGAAAAACAATAGAATTTACTGAAGCAACATGTCAGCAAGAAGTAGAGCTACATCAAACATCGTCTTCATCCTGTATCTTCACAGATGGAAGCAAAAATGAAAATGGAGTAGGGGCAGCTTATGTTGTGTTTTCTCATGAAGGCCAACAATTAATAAGGAAATACAAATTACATAACACGTGCTCAATTATTCAAGCTGAAATATATGCTAATTTGCTAATTCAAAAAGCAATACACTGGATACTCACCAGTAAACTACATCAATTCACAATTTTTTCCGACAGTAAATCAAGCTTACAAGAAATCCAAAACCCAGAGAGTACAAACCCATTAACCATAGAAATTCACCATAATATAATCAAAGCTCAAACACTAAATAAAACTATTAAGTTTGTTTGGATTAAAGCGCATAAGGGAGTTCTTGGTAATGAGCTAGCAGATAAAGCAGCAAAATCAGCGTCAAATCTGAACAAAACACCGGACTATTGTAATTTCCCAATTTCTTATGTAAAGCAAAAACACAAAATAGAACTCAAGACAGTAGCTGAAAATTATTATAACAATCCAAACAATTGCACATATCTTAAAACATGGTGTCCCACGTATGAAACACTTGACAGTGTATTAGAAAAATTCAAATTGTCTTTCAGTGTAACACAAGTTTTATCCAATCATGGCTTCCACAAAAAATACCTATACCGTTTTAAAATAACAGCAAATGACAAATGTCCTTGTGATAGTAATACACAACAAACGGTTGATCATTTAATAAAAGAATGTCCAAAATTTAGTCAAACCCGAATTGATCATGAGATCCACTGCAACAATCTTAATATAAGCCCATACAAACTAATTGAAGTTATACAAAAGGAATCCTGCATAGAAAGTTTTACAAGACACGTAGAAAAAATCGTAAAGTCACTTAAAAAATTTAATAAAGACTAATAAAAAAAAATTATATAACACAAAAAAAAACAAAGTAAGAAAAGCACAAAATAATAAACACAAAAGAGAAAATCACTCTGTATAGTGCAAATTGTATTCCGAAAGCATATTGCACTATACGTTGAGAGCCTCAATTTCATTAAGAAAAACCTCACCTAACCTAACCTTTTTTTTTTTACGGGGGGAAATCCTCATGGACTGCCTCTGCCCGGGGAAAGGCGGAAGGGTGTGCCGGACTCTTACCAGCTAAAACCACCCCAGTGTCTCCTCGCACGTTCACGCGAGGGGCCGCGGGAATCCAAATTCTTCCGCAGCCCCACACTAGTGCTGGCCCGGTCTGTACGGGCCTCGTCTCCTGCACGGGGTAGTGAGGTGTTCAACTACCCCGTGTATCACCTCAGAGGCGCGCGCCGACACCCACGCGTGCCTCCGCCTCGGGTCCATCGAATAGGGGGGCGGGGGCTTCCCCTAGTCCCTCGCCCCTGGACTCATTCATGGGGGCCGGAAAAGGGCGTTGTCCGCCCTTCTCCTGCGCCCGGTGCGCCTTCTGCGGCCAGGGAAGGGAGTCGAGATCTCCCTCTCCCGTTCCGCAGTTTCCTTCTGCGACATCACGTCCTCACAGAAGGACACCACTGCATCCCACGATTCTGCGCTACCGACCATCCTCCGCACCAAGGCCGACAGCGACAGATCGCCTCCTACTTCATTTGTGAGGACACGGCGCTGCTCCTCCCAAGCTACACACTCGGCGAGCGTGTGTTGCGCCGTGTCCTCCCCGCAATGGACGCA